ATATCACGAGTAATGACGTGTCATGTGAAACAATATTTGAAAGAAGAAGAGCAAAAACATAAGATGATTTTGTTTTAGATGTTTAATATACACTGCAAGGTTTGTTTGAAATAAAAATGTTTGGAAAAAGACATTTTGAAAACGTGTATTTGTAGGAAATGCAGATTTCAACTTGAAATATAACACATGAAATACAAGACTGAAACTTTTTATGATGAAGAATACTACATGTAGTAATATATTCCTTTGTTGGCAATTGTAAGTTTTAGGAATAGACGGATTTGGTCATAATAATCTTCAGACACACAAAGTGACTTTTAAAAATAAAAGTATGTTCTGTACAGCATGCGAAACAAATATTGTAGAATTTGATGCACACATGTTATGTTTTTTTAAATTTCAAATTAATATATTAATAATAAATAAATCATCAAAATCCTGTAAAAATAAAGAAGAAAGGCTGTTTCCCTTGTCACCATGAAATAGGTGTATGATGCTTGAGGACACTTAAAATTTGTGCATTTATTTATCTTTTCCGAGATGGTCTGTTTTCTTTATTTGCGTTTTCTTGCAAATTTTATTATTTTTCATTTATTTATGAGCTTTTTTTCTTATTATTCTGCATGTAACAATTCGGCGTAAAATTCTAACCCATTAAACCCAAAATTTAAATTGTTTCAAATTTTCGTAGGAAACTAGTACTTTGTTGAATTGTTAAATGATATTAACGATTCGCTCATTCCCTTCAGGACTTAAGAATTACGTATTTCATTTTTCATGTTTACACGATATGTTAATTTTTCTTCACGATTTGCTAAACTAGAAATGTACCAAACGTCAAATGAAGTATAAAGAATGTCACAAGTTCACTTAATGGTTACTTTTATGAATCTTATAATGTATTTGCAAGAAATAAACACCACTGCTATGTACTCAATAAAATATTTTCAAAATATAGACAATGTGTTCCACTGAATAATTGATAAAATTGTAAAGCTGCAGACAAAATATTCAGTTGAATCTTGTATCTATTCAGACTAATTACACACGTATATGATTACTCTTGTAACTAGTTAATAAATGTATTGGTATTTTGCAAACTTCAAAATAAATTTATAAGATCAACAAAAGTTTATTTTTACCATTGTTTATATCAAAATCTCACTAAATGAGATTTTTTTCTCTCTTAATGTCACTTATTTGCGCTTAATATATCAAGATTTCCTAAAGCATTTCTTCTTTTAATAAACTTTAATGACAATGTTTTATCATATAAATTACGTCAAGAGATATAATCAACGTCAATCTATTTGCTGATTAAGTTATAAAAAAAAAATACATCGCAATTTCCATAAATATTTTTCAACATTTCAACATGCTTTTAGGTAAAATAAAGACGAACTTTTCAACTATTTATATAAAAAAAACCTTTTCATAAAACATTCCTTTTAAGTGTCAAAACGTTGACACAATTTCATCCTAAAAACACCAAAGTTCTCCATATCCTTCTCACTACTGCTTTTTTACGCAGTAAGCCTCAAAGCCTGTCATAAAATTTTACATATTCTAATTAATTCTAATTAATTTATTGGAGTTAGTAGCTGTACCAACATTCGAAGAGTGCTTTGACTTTTTGTGTAGAATAACGACAACGTTCACTGACAAAATAAACAAAATATCAGAATATTTTTATATGATAATTAATTTTATAGGGATAAATAGTCATAAGTACTACAATGTAGTAAGCTTTCGTTATAAATAAACAACTTTACTTACGATTGAAAGTCGTTTCTTTTATTTTGTAATAAGTTACCCCTATATTTGTGTTACAAGAATATCTTTCGTTAGTATTTATTTCTGTTTAATTTCCAATAAAGATATATGCATTGGAAATTAAGATAAAAACATTTTATGCATATGTTTTTAGAGGAGGCATACATAAAATTAATATTGTGAAAGAAACACTAATATAAAATTTTTACTTATAAACTCTTGTTTTTTTTTTTTTTGGTAATGGTTATGGATAGATTAAATATCTGATGGTGTATTTAAATTTAGATTTTAAATACTGGGAACTTTTCAATTATTCATTCAATCCCCTCTTCTGAAGATATGATCTAAAGACCCTGGCAAAACTTTTTTCAATTTTCTGCCATCAAGGACATTTTTTCTAATAATTTCACTCCTCAGTGCATTTTTTTAGATTAAAAATAACTGCATTCACATTTTTTAAAAAGATTTTTAAGAAGATATAATAGTTAGTTATAACATGGACAATAGTTTTCTATGAAAATTGTTGAAAAAAGATTTTTAAATATTTATTTTAATATATTAAAAGAAACTGACCTTTACAATTTTTTTAATATGATTTTAAGATTCATTAAAAAATATTTGTTGTTATGCTAAATTTATTTTTATATATTTTTAAAGAAACAAAGCTTTACTCTTCAGATAATTAGATCGTTGTGTCTTAATCTCTTCAACCTGATCCCATCCGTGGTATTTTCAGGGATCTGTTTTCTTTTACCCTGTTCACAGTTTGTTTTGTTTACTGGAGTTCTGAGATTGATTGTTGTTAATATACGAGTGGTTATCAGAAAATTGGCTATCTATCTCTATATTGATTAAAAACCACAATTCAGATCAGAATGAAATTCGGCACACATAATAAAGCCATGTACATGTTCAATGAATAGAATATGACTAGAAATGTTTTTTCTCCAATTTTTTTTTGACGTCATAATATGAAAATGACGTCAGTATGTAGGTGACTTGTGACAAAAAATCGTTGCCATAGTCTTACTCGAGCAACAAACGGGTTTAAAGTTTAACGTATAACTTGGGAATTCCCTAGCAGTTCCATATAATGATTTGTTCACGTTTTTAAGAAGACAAAAGACTTTCCAGAGGTTCATTCATAAATTGGATTAATTGCTTTAGCAAAGGAAGGAGATGGTTTAAAATGACGTTTATTTTATTGCCAAGTGAAGGCAAGCTGGAGAGGATATGTGTCCTTTGTTGGGCAATTTGTTATAAAAGATTGCTAAGTTACATCTAATAAAATAGTTGAATTTCTTAACAATAATATATCTATTGAGGCCCTAAAATATCCTTAAGTTACTTTGGACTTTAAGCATATGAAATATGACAAAAAGAAGGCGCCAATACTATATCCATATTGGTTAAACGACGTTCCTAAGACAGAGGACTCGGGTTGTGATAGTTAGAATAATCTAACTGTGTCTCGGTACGGGCCCTCACCACAGTTAGAATACGTCCCATATACTTGCAATGTAGCAAATCGGAGCGGATCCGCTCCGATACGATTTTGAAGAATATAAAATGATTTGCACTGGGAATAACTACCAAAATAATCAAAACAAACCTTCTTGAGATTGCTTATGCCTTTTATCCCCAAAAATAATCCATATAAATACGAAAAACCAATTAATTTTCTCAACGTTTTTTTCTCGATTCAAATGTTTACATTCGGAACTCTCTAGATTGTTCCTAGTAAATGCACTATGCGAGTTATCGCCCGTGTTTCTTTCTGCTACATTACGAATACACGGAACGAATTCTATCGTTAAACCGGGTCCGTAGGACAATATCATTTTAACGATAGAACATTCTATCTAGGGTTGTGATGTTCACTATATTCCTTCTGGAAAAGGATATCTTTATCCAACCATATTATTACCTAGATTTGGCCACTTCTGACAAATAGACTATTCTTGTTATTAAAAAAATAACTTACATGATAAGAAATATAAGAGTCGGAAAATATTGTAGCTTCTATGAACAGAATGCTATGGAGTATGTCACGTGACCGCCTGGATCACGTGATTCGTGCATGGGCAGAACGGTGGAAGATGTGCTTTTTAAAAAATCAAAGAGGACTACTTTAAAAATATATGAACACTATAACCTAATTTTATTTGTTTGATGGAAGTTATTCAATTATTTCGCGAACTTTTTGATCACCCTTCGTATATAAAGACAGGGCGAGTGTGAGAGAGAAGTCATTGTATATATGTTAGACAACACAGATAAAAATGTTTAAATGGAACTATTAATTTGCTTAAAATATCAAAATAGAAAACACAAATTCTAAGAATATCAGCAGTTTCGTTTAAAGCCATCATTTCGTAAGTTTTATGGACGATACAATGACTTTGTCAGCATATACAATTTATCATTAAGTCAAATGCTGACTGGGCTTTTTTTCATATTGATTGTTAGGCCATTATTTACATCCTGAGTTTTTTTTTTATATTTTTTTTCGTTATTTCCCGATCATGAGAAGGAGCGAGTGTGACCGGTGGGCAGGGGATGCTCACTCCTCCATGGCACCTGATCCCACCGGTCCGTATTTGCTCCGCTCCTATTTGTAATGTTGAATGGACTTTTAAGCTCGAATACTGTTCGTTATCTACATATTTCATTGTAGATCTATAAAGTGACAATCGTTATGTCATTAGCTTGATATGATCTGCAAAATAGCAGGTGTAAATACGGCTTCAGAAAACCTTTTAAAGCTTATTGTTTATGTGTGCAATCAATATTTATCAAGTCAAGCAGTGCTAAGCACCAACCGACAGGAAAGATATATCCCGTAGAAGCGAATCTGTTATATTTCTTTCTCTTCCGCGTTATAGATCAATTCTTTTTTTCAGTCAAGTTTACATTTTTATTTGTTTTAAAAATGAAAAAAAAAAAATTAAATTAAAATAGAGTTATTCTCAGCGATAGGTCTTTCTCCTACAAAGGTTTTACGAATAATCGAATAATCAGGTTTCTTACATAGTGTCAATGTGTCGAGTGTACTTCACCAGAAAAAAAAACAGCGACAAAGGTAAGAGAGGCAGTATTCCCTAACATTTGTTCTAAATTCATTATTAAGCAGGGTTATATACTATTACATAACAACATAAACGACACGAAAAACGCAGTCCATGCCACGTTTAGATGAAAATTACAATATTTAGAATGTTTCCTACCTTTTACAAAACGTGAAAATCAATCCCGTCTATACAAGATGAGAAATGAATAATACATACTGAGTAGTCTCTATTTCAGTCTAATATAGAAAGTTCACAAGATATAGTTCAAGGCACTTTACATCACTGCAAGATATACACTTCATTCCCCCATACTACCACACCACACCATTACGTAACTCCGAGAGGTTAATGCTCCTATTCTAATTATAGAATTAATTTTTTCCCCACAGTTCTTGTGCACTTGACGCTGGTACGAAAGGATAATGAATAGATGGACACTACTCGTTAGATTTATTCAAAAGCAGGTAATGGATATTAAAAATAACAGATGATTAATTTAGCAATGTCGCATGAAGATAGTGTCGTGTATAATGAAATATGGAGGCTTTACGGTCCAAACTCCTAAATTTTTTTAACCAGTCATTCCTGATATTACAAACTTATATTACACATGCTTGACATACGAAAAGCACCTGTGCCAACTGAGTATTCCATCAGCCGTGATTTATTAACTGAAACTTGATAACACGAAATGTTATCAAAGAAAAAAGCAATGGGTCAACTACACAGAAAATGGAAATGCCTCGAATTCTTTGTTATTTCTAGTTTTCTTTTGGTTATTGTAGCCCACTCAAATGAAATCTTATAAACCTTACTGATTTTCAGTCACAATTACAAGTTTATTTAGCCATTGCTTCTTTTTATTTATTTCAAAATATTAATTTACTTATAATTTTTTTCTTTTTCGAATCATCTAGGTATGTACTTCAAAAAGATCATTCTAAATTTACATTAATGAATGTTAAAGTTGTATATAATATTGGATGTCAAAAAATCAAAGAAGTTTATGAAAATTAAAATAAAAATTAGAAAATAAATAAATGGATTTTGATATTTCATAGATGTTTAAACTTATTGTTCCTTGTAAATGAAAATGAAATTGAGAATATCGAATCTTTTTTTTTTATCTTACATCTTGAAAATAAATTTATTTTTAAAAAATCATTCTGATTCTGGACGCAAATTCTCTAAAGTATTGTCAACAGACATCCAAATGAAATTCACATAGGAAGTAATTATGCCCCTTTATTAGTCAACTTATAATTACGTTTATATGAAGCAGAATTTTGTCAAATCCTTCGACATATACCAAAAAATGATATTTTTGTATATTGACGACAGTTTAGCAATATTGATTTTAACCAATACGCTCATTAAATAGTTAATAAACGCCACCACATCTGTTTTATTTTTGGATGTTGTAATAGATGAAGTTATCAATTACAAACTGACAACTACACTGCATGATGAACAGTGTATATTTATGATCGTCAACTTTTGTATTATGTAACAATTAATACACCATTATCACCTGCATACGACACCAATATTTGTGGATACAAAAGGAGTATATTCCACATTCTAGAAAATCTCTAAACTGAAGCAAAGGAAGGATATGGAGATAACGAACAGTATTCAATATCAAAGTCCATAAAACAATACAAAATAGGAGCAGAGCAAACACGGACCTCCGAAACATCAGAGATGGGATCAGGTGCCATGGAGGAGTGCGCATTCCTTGCTGACCGGTCACACCCGCCGTGTGCTCCATGTCATGATCGGGAAATAACGGAAAATCCGTCGTCAATTCAGTGTATAAATAATGCACTAACAATTAGTATGAAAAACGTCAGTCAGCATTTGACTCAATGATAAATTGTATTTGCTGACAAGGTCATTGTATCGAACATAGAACTTACAAAATGATGGCTTTAAACGGGACTGCTGATATTCTTGTTTCATCAACTTGCCTGTCAATAATTTACCTCGTTTTAGAAATTGTTCATACAAAGAGCATGCTCTTGCGTATCGAATCAACTGAGATATATACGCTCCGTATGCAGGTGATGAAGGTATATTGCTGCATCATATAATATAGTTTATAATATATCATTATAAACTACTAATACAAATGTTGATTTTTGTGCTTACCGTAGGTAATCCCTCGTGGCATCTGATTTCAGGGATGTGTGTTTGCTCTGCTTTCATTGTTAAATTGGATTTTGAGCGTACCTTCTAATATCCATCCTATTGTACATCAAAGACACCCATTGGTTGATAACTCTCTATCATAATCAGAAGTTTACTAGAGAAAGAAATACATGACAAACTAATAACTAAACTTCGTGATAAACGTGATGGCTTCATATAGCAAATACAATCACATCCTGCATATGTTAGTTTTGTCCCCCAGTTGATTAAATAAACACGATCATGATCTGTAAGGACTTCATAAGTGTGGTAAAATGTACTCAAAAAAAATTTGCCCATCGCTACACAAGGATCTGAAAATTGATTGAGTCAATGTGACCTTTCTCATAAAAATATTCATGAAAATTTTGACCAATCAGAGAGGACACAATTACAACACAGTTTACAGGAAAACTCAATTTTATTAGATATCAAATCTGCAGAAGATATATTATACAAAACAAAGAGCTAAAAAACAAGACAATTTAAGCAAGTACTTATTATATTATTTCAGAAAAGACTGTGGCCCTTCTCTTACAGGCTACAGAAAATCACGATTTTTCCAAAATCATATGCCCTTTCCCTTCTGTAACTGAATTCCGAGATACTTTCCAATTCTCCAAAGTAAACATTTGATTGGATAATTCAAAGGTCACCAGGAGATGACCCCGAATGGGGTTTCTTCAGATCCTTGTGTAGCGATCTATGTGAGCGGATCAAAGGATCTGATTTTAATCAGATTGTAAGTGTGGTAAAATGTACTCAAAAAAAATTTGCCCACCTCGATTGAAAATTGATTGAGCAATGTACGCATAACACGAAAAAATAGGTTGGGTAATAAAGGGACACAATTACAACACAGTTTACAGGTGCTCAATTTTATTAATATCAAATCTACAGGAATATTATCAACGATGAGGGAGTCAAACATTTCAATTCATTTCAATTTCATCCCCTGATACCTCTGAGGAAATATTCTTCAAAATCATATGTCAGTTTGAAATATTTTTGGCAACAAGAAAAAATTGAATATATTTTGGATTTTAAAATTTAGAAATCATTTTTTATATCTTTATATGGAGCCTCTTCTTTACTCCTCATAAGGAGGATAAAAATTGAAGGAAAATGGCTATACAACAACATATTACAGAAGAGGTGTAAATCAGATTAAATATGTTTTAAAAAAAAATAACTCCAAAGAACTTTTTTTACTTTGAAATACTTTTACTTTTGTCAATAACATCAGAATGTACGACCTTTCAACACTTTATACATCTACCGGTATTCCCCACGATAAATTTTACGTCCAGACTTTTTGATATCACAGACAATTGCCTTTTCAATGAAAATTTACTTACCTTATCATTGATAATCTGCATTCATCAATGACAATGTAATCATTTTCTTTAAAATTATTTATTGTACACACTAGTACGCTGAAGATAATATTAAAAAATGCTTGAGTTTCTAATTGCCAGTAAATGTATCTATGTACTTTTGGGGATCAAGTCTTCCAAAATCTGTTAGAATTCTCTGCTTGAAATAAACGATACCACAGAGTCGGACACATCTGTTTCATGTGCGGTTATTTTAGTAGAAAAAGACGTAACCAAGCTTTATAATATATGCTAAAACTTTAGCTTTTCAATTGTAAGCTTCCTGCTCTATGGGGTTAACGTCTCTCAGTGGATTGGATATTTAAAAGCATGCTCTAAGTATGAACAATTTCTTAAACGAGTATAGCTAGTTAATGAAATAATGATACCAACAGCTTCGATCGAAATCTCATTATTTAATTTTATGCACACTAAATTATATAACATTTTCCCGATCTGGACAAGAAGCACAAAGCGATTGTGGCACTTCGGCAGGAGATGATCACTACTCTATGGCACTTGATCTCACCTTTAATGTTTTAAAGGCCTGCGTTTGCTTTTCTCCTTTTTAGTATTGTTTGAATAGAGGTTTGAGACCTCTATTTATTTCGTACATGATCAATTACCAGCACAAGAAATGGTAATTTTGAAATGCTCTCTAATAAAACTGAGATGAATAAGACTTTTTTTCGAAGATGATGAAATATTTAGATACGAATTTGGTATTCCATAATCTAACAACGTGTACTGACGGTATATAATTAAGGTCATTACACATGTAAATTCATATAGTTACTGTTTCTACAATTAGTTATACCACCTAAAGCGAACATGCAGTAATATCATACTTACAATGATTTCATTTTGTCTTTCATTTACGTATTTTCCACATTATTTATCCTGTCTTTTCTTGTCTATAATGAGTTGTTTCAGTTCGGTTTGTTCTGTTACCTCCTATTGTGTATTTAAGATAGGTCCATACTTTCAGAATTTTCTGTCAAACTGATAATTTTTCAATTTGAATATAGTTATTAAAACACCCATAAAAGACGTATTTTTGCAGGTTAATTTTCATACAACATGTCTCAGCGCACATACCCCTAAACACTCAAAAGCCAAAATTGAACATAAAAAAGTGTGATGTCATATTTCTCTTAGTTATGCACCTAATCACATCAAATTTATGTTAAAACTTATGAAGATCAAAAATATTCATTTGCCAAGAGAATATTTGAAATCTTTATTGGAAAACATGTTGAATCTGTCCACGTCTTTCAGAAAAAAAATCTTAAAATATCTTTATTTTTATTTTTTCTCAAAATCCAAAATGTTTAGATGCCATTTTTTCTTCAAAACTATTAAGAATCATATCTAATGTTAACAAAAACAGCTACTTTATTATGGTTGACCAGAGAATTTTAACAAAACAGTCTTTTGAAGACGTATACCCCCATTTTTGGAATATAAATTTTTTCAATTATTCAATGCAAAATTTTTAAAAATAAAAATTAAATGGATGATATAGGCTCTAAATCAATAAGAATAAATCTCAGGTTAGTTTGCTTAAAAGAAAATTAAAAAGATTTAGGTCCATAAAAGCAATTAAGAATTTTGTGTCTGTGTACGTAGTAAATGACATAAAGATCTTATGGACAGAGTGCAAAGTGTTAATTTCCATAAATAATGTATATTAAATGCTTCATATTTAATAAACAAAAATATACTTGCTAAATCATTTTTAATCACCCAAAAAGATTTATATCAATAGAAAAGTGAAAATCAGAATTTTATATTGATGT